AGCTGTGTGAGCCCCGGCTTTGAGTCACATACAAGCTTGCAAGAATAAGAGATTCTAACAACATTTAAACCATATTTCCGCGCTGTGTTATCACAGAGATATTAATAGAAACGTCCGTCGACCTCAGAGGGTTGATATTAGCTGTGTTAAGTCGCCTGTTAGAAACGTTTCTTCATGGTCTCTTCTCATATAACAGAACAAGAGAGATTTTACATACAGGTCCTGAACAACACCTGTGTGTGTTGTCAGTGCTTTGAACTGTCACTTTACAGCATGTTGGTGCTAATGCAGGTTTCCAGCAGGATGAGATCATCAGGAAAGCAACAAGGCTATCAAATGCTCCTGGAGCATTCTGTGTGGACACCCAACACCAGATGAGGAACAAACAGCACAGCTTTTATGTCCTCCTGTCTGCAGGGGTTGTCTGTGTGTTACAATAAGATGGCCTCGTGGATAGGAAACCCTGTCTCCTTAATGTGGACCGTAATGGACCATGTTAGAGTTTCAGTCCTCGGCTCTGACCGCTGAGGTTCCTCTCAACCATCAGTGATGTGATGTAAACATACGTCTCCCTCTCTCTGTGAGACGAGCACAAAACCTACGACTGCCCTGTGAAGAAAACCCCCTGTAACCTTTAAATAACCGCATCAGTAGTGTTAAGTAGGAGGCTCAGGCTTTTTGTCCTCCTTTACTTTTGTCCTCTGTGTTCCTTCCAGCAGCTTTAGAAGAGGATCTCCGAGGGCAGGCGTGTGATCCCTGTGTGGCTGTGAAACACAGTGTGTCTTTGTGTGGCGACGGTTTTCTGAGCGTTGCGGCTGTGAGGGCATCCTTCACTTACATCCTGCCTGAATGAGGAGCAGGTGTGTCTGCAGCACAGAGATTAAACTCTCTTTGACTATCTGAGGCTATTGACTGCAGAACACACATGTAGACAGACATCCAGCAGCAGCACCTTTCACAGCGTCAGGCCTCGGGACACTCAACAAAATGGACCTTTGTATGATTCTATTTTGGTCTTTTTCTTAGCATGTTTGCAGACGATGAATTTCTGCAGCTTTTGATGTGGCTCCCGCCCTCTCTTTGATGTACACAGCACCAGAAACCTGCCCACTGATACGATTCATAACGTAGGACAGAGGAAGATTAACACTTAAGGTGGAGGGCCTTTGTGAGCGATAATGTGGCTGTGGAGCAGCAGAGGCTCAACATGATCTCATGATTTATCGCTGCTTGTTCTGGTTTGGATGTGACCACACGGCTTCCTGACACCCAGCGGTGTCCCCGCCCGCGCTGTGAGCCTCCTATTCAGCGATGTGTGAACTCCGCAGGCAGAAACGTGTGTGTGTTGTGTTCAAAGACCGACAGTGTTAATGTTAATGTGAGGCACCAGGGTTTGGCAGGATGTGGAGTCTGCTCAGATAAAGTATTGTAAGCCGGTGGTAAAGAGATGCATCAATAGACGTGTAATTACAGCTTGCAGCAGGTGTCTCAGCGCAGAGGTGATGGTCCTCGTCCACACACACGACACCATGACTCATAAAGGCGGGAAAGGCCACAGCCAGTATCACCGTGGCCCCGAGAGCTCAACGCACTGCAGCTGCATAAAACACATTAACAGACAAACACAGACAACTTCAGAGAACAACGTCAACCTGACGACGAGCTGCAAATACTCAAACACAACCAACGTGTTTCCAGGGGACACTAAAGAGTGACGAACCCACTGGGACGCACTTGTTGTTCAACACTTTTAAACTTCAAAAGTCACAAAGCAACAAGTGTGTCTCAGCAGGTTCATCACTTTTTTATTCCTCCGCACCGGCGACAGTCATTTTGTTTTCTGGTTGTCTGTCCGTCCGTCTCATTCTCGTGGACACGATATCTCAGTAACGCCGCAACAGAACTTCTTCACATTTGGCACAAACATTCACCAGGACTTAAGGATGGACTGATTAAGTTTGGGGGGGGGGGTCAAAGGTCAAAGATCACAGGTGTGGTGACCTCACAAAACACAGTTTTGACCTTGTGAACACGACATCTCTGTAACACCTTGAAGGAACTTCCTCAAATTTGTTGAAAACCTTCATCGAGACTCAAGGACAAACTGATTAGATTTCGGTGGCTAAAGGTCAAAGTTCAAAGGTCAAGGTCTCACACCTCACCTGCCTTGTGAATGCAGTCTCCCTGTAACACCTTGAAGGAATTTCTTCAGATTTAGTACAAACATTAACTCAAGGATCAACTGATTAGATTTTAGTGGCTAAAGGTCAAAGGTCAAGTTCACGGCGACGTCACAAAACACTTTTTAGCCATTACTTGATACTTCACACAGAAATTATTACAAAGTTTCACACAAATGGTTCATATTTTATATGACAGTGTGGCGGAGGCTGACAACCACAAGGCGGTTATTTTTTACATTTATTATGATAGAGAGGGGTGGGGGTGGGGGGGGGGACTCAAACCCGTGTTGCTGCGGTTTGGACTTCACCTTTAAATCAACAACCAAGTTGCAGGTTTGAGCCAGAATGTGAAAGCTTCTGATTTGAGTTTGTGATTGTTTGATCAGCAGGTTTCCTTCAGCTGTTTGGAGGTTTTTGAGTGTTTTGGTTTTATAAACTCGGCTCTCACCAGCAGCTGCTGTCAGAGAAGCAGTCCCTGTCCTCTACCTGCTCAGGTAGAACTCCGTACACCGTGGAGCATTTAGCAGCTGAAGAGCCAGGTATCTGTGAGCTGGTGAAACACTGATGAATGATGGTTGTGCTGTGTCTCCTGCATGAAGGTGATGTCGGTGTTGTGTTTTTAGCTTGTTCAGCTTTAGCCTGTTAGCCTGTTAGCCTGTTAGCTGTAGACTAGAAGCTGTGACATGTTTTTGATCCGCGCTCCTGTTGACCCCTCACTGCACCTACAGGATATTATTGACAAAGGCGCATCAATCCTTTTTCCTCTGTGGAAACACAAGTTAAACATCCTGTTGTCATCCAGTGCAGGTGATTCTATTCAGAGCCCGCCTCAGCCCACAGCTTTCAGAGGGAAAACATGAAGGGATACATGAGACAATAAAACGTCTTAACATGTTGCCGCAGCTGGAACAAGCCCCACTAGCCTGGAGGTAAAGGTATCCCCTTCACAATAAAACAAAGTAAAGAGAGTTTCATCACTGACTAATGCCTCTGTTGTTCAGGAGTTCCTGTCTGGCATGCCTGCAGCCGTATGTCAGAAACACAAAAACAGCCTCGCACACACTTCATCACATCTTTATTTCAGACAGTAACAGAAATATAAAAAAACAACTTCAGCTGATCAGGTACAAAAATAAATTACATACAATTCACTCTGGAAACCCACAAACCGTCCCACATACTGCAGATTCACACTACAGGCTACTGAGCATTATTCTACTCTATATAACTCTAACTTCACATTTGAAACTTTTACATTATGATTGACATGTTTGTGTCCACAGTCTGATATTTGATTTGATATTCATGGTTTTTGATTTGGGTCTTTCAGCTGCGTCCTGGTGGAATCAGAGAGTAGAGTCACATGGAAATTCAAAATGGCTGTGAAATTACAACTTCTGCTGATGCCAGAGTCCCGGTGGACCGCTCAGCTGTTCACTCTGAACACTGGCCAACCTGCACGTTTGGTGTGAAAGCCCCTGATACATGTGATGCATGTGATACATGTGAACAAGCGTCTGCCGCCGTCAGACCTGATGTCATACTGTTAGACAGCAGCAGGGTTTCCTCTGCACTGGACGACAGACTTGTCTTTTAAAATGAAAGGAGGGAAGTTTGACTCGTATTTTAAATCTAACCTCTCCTCGTCGGCCTATTGGCGTTTCGTCTCTCTGTAGTTCCTGTCTTTACTAAGGCCCTGTGTTGGCTCGTCAACAGTTGGTTCGTGTCACAGATTAGTTCAACATTTTCAGTTAGCATATGGTTAGCCTTTAGCTTAGCATAAAGACAGGGAGTGGAAAAGGTGTAAAACTCACTAATGGACATGTTTCTTGTTTGTTTGTCTGAACACACACAGAGAGGACGTCAGGTGGGAGTCAGCTGCTGTTTCCTGATTGGTCCTCAGGCCTCATCATCACACTGTGAGTGTGGAGCAGAGACCGGGACGGAGAGCTGCAGGGAGCCTGAACACGTTTGTACGTGTCTGTCTGTGCACAGATTGAACAAACAACAAGTGTAGGTCTGTCCAACTCTGGACGGAGCCAGGCTAGCTGTTCCCCCACTGCTTACGGTCTTTATGCTAAGCTAGGCTAACCGCAGGTTAGCAAGGTCAGTAGTTAGAATCCCGGTGTTACAGAAGTTGGAGTGATCCTCTAGCTGAGCAGTTTCCTGCGTCACACTGATCTAACTCTGACACTAGTCACTGTCTCTGAACCCTCTGAGGTTGACGGATGTTTTTATTAATATCTCTGTGATAACACAGACGAGAAATATGGTTTAAATGTTGTTAAGATCTGTCGACTCTCCACTTTCCATTTCTTATTCTTGTGAGATTGTAGATGACTCAGTGCTGGAGCTTGAAGGCCTCTAACATTCAGTTAAAGCAGAGTGACAGTCGGCGCTTAGACTCAATGATATTACAAAATCTCGTTTTAGGCATTTATTAAACATTTATCTACTATTTCACTCATATTGCACTATTTTTATGAACCTAAGACTTTGATAAACCCGTTTCAGTTCATCCACATCAGTAATCTGGACAATTTCAAAAACTGGGCTTCACTTTTCAGCATTTGGGCCAAATGATCTTTTGCAAAGAGAGTCAGAAGGAGCTGCGATAGTTCTGAAGATTGTGATATAAAGACTTGGGCTTAATGTGATGTCAACCTTTTAGAAGGTGACTTTAAGAAATAGTGTAGGAATCCAGAAAACACCCATAGACCTCAGAGGGTTAAATATTTGCACACTAATAATTCATCCGTAGACGTCATGATGGAGACAGGAGTGTCTGTTGGAGACTCGGCTGTAGCTGCAGAGGTTTTAGTTGTCGGACTGCCTCCCGCCTCTCTCCTCAGGGAGTCCGGCCTTCCTCACATTTTTCCTCTGTTTCCCGCTGTGGACAGACGTGTCCTTGTGTCCTGAGTCATTCTGCTCTCTGGAGTAGCGCTTGCACTTGCAGGAGGTCACCACAGTTATCTTGTAGGTTCGGGAGCTTCCGTCCTGGCACTGCAGCCGGATCCGCTGGGTCCTGGTCCGGTCAATGACGCAGCGCCACTCCTGTTCGTCGCGGCGGCTCCAGTACCTCGTAGTGTGACCCCCGCTCCCGATCCAGTTGGGCAGCAGGTGGGCCGGCAGACACTCCCCGGCACACACCAGCTCCTTGATGGGGTTAACGCTGGTGCACTGGCCGTCAGAGATGTACTTCGTGGACCTCAGCTCCCTGCAGCCCACCTGGCTCTGGTTTGCACCTGAGACAGGAAACTGAATTACATATACACTCCAGTTCACCCTGAGGTCTACAGGAGTGTCACAGGTCACAGGTCACAGCTCACTTTAACATAAAGGTGACATAACAAACTGGCTGCAGTCGAACAGTCTAAATAATCTCTCTGACCTCTTCTCCTCGACCTCCATGGAAAACGTCATGAGGTCAAAGGTGAGAAGGAGAGTTCATCAGGACTTACTTAACTGCAATTACACTAAACCTTTTTTAACCAACTCTATTTATAACACCTGGAGGATCAATTTAACCACAGAAACAGAGCAAACAGGAGTGAAATTCTGAAATAAGAAAACATGAAAGGAAAATACAAATAGAGAAAGTTGAGCAGGTAAAATAATAATTAAATAGAAATAAAGAAATCAGAAGAAATGATATTCCTGTCGTAGGTGCCTTTGACATTTCTATACAATTATTAACTAGAGAAAATTCATTTTCAGTGTTTTACCCAGTGTTGCTGCTGCGCCTAGCTGTCTGTGTGAAGGAGGGAGCCCTTTATTCTTTGATTTGTTGCAGATATTTGTTGTATTTAGATTCATCATTTTCATTGCGTCACTAACTGCTTTGCTTTGGTTGTTTTGTGTTCTGACAGAACTGGACCAGACTCAGGTTTTATATCCTGTAGACAGGCAGGTACAGGACCACCTGGGTCCTGTACACCTGGGTCCTGTACCTGGGAGGGTCTTTGGCAGCAGGAGCTGTGAGGATAAATGAATCAAAATAAAACCAGACTTTTTTGTCTGTGTACAACTGATCTCTAACCTTCTGCTCACTCTGGCGCCAAAGTCTCCCTGACGTTTACAGATCACCTTCCAGGAGCATCACCCACTGGCGCACGTTCATTGATAAAGATCCACCTGCTGCACAGGTCACCGCACTGAGAGTGACGTCATCTCTTCACTCAGGCATCCATCTGAATCAATATCTGTCAACTATTACACACAAATCTATTGAGTGCGTCGTGCGTAACCGTTTGGACTCACCATTGCGCAAGTCGTCCGCCGGCCGTCTCCCGCCGTTCCTCGCCTGGTTCGTGTCTTCATTGGCCGGCTCGTCCTGGGTGTCGTGGACCGGCTGAGTGTCCACGGACTCAGTGGCGTCGTTGTGAACAGCTGAGCTGCTCCTGCTCAGCAGCAGCAGGAGCGCGACGAGCTGGAGTCCGCTGGCGCGAGGGAGCATGCTGCACGTGGCTGGTCTGAGAGCTGCTGTCAGTGACAGTGTCACACCTGATGAATGACGGACCCGCTGCAGCCGGGGTTTATATACCCTTCTTGTTTATGAATGAACAAGACACGCCCACTTTAACAGCAGCTCTGAGGACCTGACAAAGGATTCCTCTCTGTCCACTGCTGCTCCTCAGTCTGGGATCTCATCAGCCAACTGTACTGTCAGCACTTAAAAGCTCCTCATCTTCATGTGTCTTGATACTTTATTTTGAAATATGACATCATAAAGAAAAGAAGATATTTATTTCCAACAGAAAGAGAAACAGAACAAAACTAGAATCACCTCCTCGTGGTCGTATCCCTCCGCCACTCAGACTAGTTCCATGTTACATCCTGTTTATCCAGCGTCAGAGAGAATATGAAGCACGTGTGTGAAATTTTGTCATAATTTCTATGTGAAGTCTTGAGTAATGACTGTGATCTTGACCTTTGACCTTAAGCCACCAAAATCTAATCAGTTCATCCTTGAGTGCAAGTGAACATTTACACCAAATTTGAAGAAATTCCCTCAAGAAATTAGAGACATATCACGTTCACAAGGCCAAAACTGTGTTTTGTGAGGTCACCATGCCTATGACCTTTGACCTTTAACCTTTGACCCCCAAAATCTAGTCAGTTCATCCAGAGGAATAAAAAAACAATAACTAAACAACAGCAGCAGAAACACTGTGAGTGTTCATGTTCTTCCACGTCCTGAAGTTTTTATCGAGTCCTCTCTGTCCTCAGTACCTGGACTAGTGTCCAACCACCGTCCCTACAGTCCCAGCTGAGTCTTTTAAACCGGGTTTAAACCAGCTGATTAAACCATGAGTCTCTGACTCTACAGGCGTCTGTAATGACACACACACATTTTCACCTTTGCACCTAAATTGCAATTGAACAGTTTTTAAAAAACACAGACACAGACAGTTCTCAGTGTAAAACACAGGAATCTGACATAAAGTGGTTTGTTTGTGAAGATCAGATCCTCCATCTAACACACACAGTGTTCGACACACAATGTGGAGTTGATGCAGGAGGAACCATGTGAACATGTGTGTACCTGTACCTGAACTGTGACGTGTAAGCCTATAGATGTTCCACCTGTGACCACACCTCAGTGATACAGTCAGAGGCGTCTGTCTCCCTCTGGAGGCTGAGCTGGGATCAACGGTGTTGATCAGGACCAGGACCAGCAATCACAAAGTAAATGTTATAATTGATCTTAATTAGTGCCGGACCACATGAAGCTTCCTGTTGACCTCAGGTGACCTGGAGGAATCTGTGTGTGCTGCTGTGAGACAACAACTCTACCCAGGGATGAGGTTTGGTTCGGTGTAGCAGCTGCTAGCAGTGAGTGGTGTTACTCATATTACTTTGCTATAATGACTGAAAGTAAACAGCTAGTGCGACCTAACCATATTTTTCTTTTTTTTATATAACAGTCAGAGCAGCAGTTGTGTGAACATAATATCTCCATGACACCTTGAAGGAACTTCTTCAAATTTGGTACAAATGGTCACCTATACCTTGACCTTTGACCTTTTACCACTAAAAGCTGATCAGTTCATCCTCAAGTCTAAGTGAATGTTTGAGCCAAATTTGAAAAAGAGGTTCCATCAAGGCGTAACTGAGATATGGTGCTCACAAGGCCAAAACTGTGAGGTTTGGCCTTGTGAGGTCACTACACCCGAGACCTTTGACCTTTGACCGCCAAAACCTAGTCAGTTCATCCTTGAGTCCTAGGCTGTGTCCAAAATCACTCACTACTCCTTATATAATCCACTATATAGTGAGTTTGCCATTTTGTCGTGCTGTGTGATAGTATAGTTAGAAATGTTACACTTTATAGTGGACTCACACTATCCCACAATGCATCATGAAAAGTAGTGTACAACCATGTGTACAACCAGAAACAGTAGAGAAACTATATAGAAGATCTTTGGTACAACCGATGGCCACTAACCAAGCAATATAGACCATCATGCAGTGCGCTCGCGCCGAAAGACAGAAAAACGGTGCGAAGAAAATGACCTGAGTCGTGTCCGGAAGTGTTTTTCCATTTTACATCGATGTATTATAAGATTATATTATAATGTATTTATTATAAGATTATATTATAATACATCAATACCATTTTACCGATGAGCTCACTACATAGTCCTCTTCATTACACTCCCTGGATAGTTACTGTGAGGCGGGAGGGGAGAGTGATTTTAGACACAACTCTGGTGAATGTTTGTGACAAATTTCAAGAAGTTCCGTCAAGACGTTTTTGAGAAACTGTGTCCACGGAAATACAGTACTGTACAGAAAACAGTACGTCTCCCGCTCTGACTGTCGCCGGCACGGAGGAATAAAAACATTACAAATCCGTTCAACATTCAAAGTGCACCAGCGCCTCCCAGACACCAGGGGCGCTGCGCCGGCCGGAGCCTTCTACGTGGCCTTCACGGACACGTCATGCCAACAGCAGCTTGAGGCTCCTGCGCAGGCGCCTCTCGATCTCTTTCATTACCTGCAGTTAGAGCTGAACTGAACGGTAAGAGACCGGGTGTCTGCTTCTTCTAATTCCACACATTTGATACTGATTTGATAATTAGAAATATCAGTAGCTTTAGATATTAGCTTCAGATATTAGCTGCAGGCATCAGCTTCAGGCTCTGTTGTTTGGCGTCAGTCTGGTCTGAAGTGAACACTGACACGGCTCCTCTGGTCCACGTAAGCGTCGGTGACGGTCCGTTTCCAGCACTTTAGGAAGCTAAAATGTCAAAGTTTCAGTCATGAATGTTCTTAACTGTGAGAGGAGAAGCGCTGCTGGTGTTTCTGTGAATAAATATGAAACAGCGACAGGTTTAGCGGCAGTTAGCAGCTGTCAGCGGCAGTTAGCAGCAGTTAGCAGCTGTTAGCCGTGAGTCTGTTTTCAGGTCCAGCTTCAGACTCGAACCCTTGACGTGTTTCAGTGTTGTCTCCTCCATGAACGTGGTTTTCTACACGTTGTCTTTGATCTTGTGGATTTTAACTCTGATTGTGGTTAATTAAAGTCCTCTTCACTTCATAGCCAAATGTATGTGGACACCTGGACATTAACAGTCATATAAACATGTCCTGCCTCCAGTAACAGCCTCCAAGTCCCCTTACCGGGCTCTCCATGGGACTTTGGAGCCTGTCTCCCTTGACTGAGGTGTCCATACACTTTGGACCTTAAAGATGATGTGTCTTCCCCTCCTCTCCTTCCTCTCCAACAGTTTTTCAGGTTGCAATTGGTTTATTGTGGCCTGTTTTCTCTCCAGATGACGAAGATGCTGCCGTTGTTTGTGGTCCTGGTTCTGTTCGGTCTGGGCTCAGGAGAGGAGGGAGCCCGTCTGCTGGCCTCTAAGTCCCTGCTGAACCGCTATGCCGTGGAGGGCCGTGATCTCACCCTGCAGTACAACATCTACAACGTGGGCTCCAGGTCAGGACGGAGTACTCTCCTATAGCTGAAGCTGTGAATAACCTGTTATTTAATATAAGTGCTCGTTGTTCTGATCAGTGCAGCCATATTGTTCATCAATATTTACTTACTGGCTCAGTCAGGTATACCATGAGATACATGGCTGTCTAACTGAGTGCCCTCCTCTCGTCTGTCTCTGCAGCGCTGCCCTGGAAGTGGAGCTGTCGGATGATTCCTTTCCTCCTGAAGACTTTGGAATAGTTTCAGGAATGTTGAACGTTAAATGGGACAGGATCGCACCGTATCCTTGAGTCTGAATGTCTTCTTACCCTGTGTTTGTTGTTGGTTGTTGTTGGTAGATTAAAGGGAGAAAAAGACAGATTCACACTCACACTGATTTCATCCCTTGTCAACCATCAGATAACCTCTGGGTGTCTCTGTTAGCTGCCACTTGTTTGCAAATGAAACAGAGCATGGAAAAGTGAAATGATGACTCATCAGTATCACAGACAGCTGAAATGATGAGACAGAGAAGGTGAAGCACTGTGGGATCTTTGAGAGACATGTGAAGTTTCTGAGGGGGCAGAGATCAGTGGAGAAGTTTCCATTAAACAGGTCGAAGCTTCATTTAGGACGTCACACAGAGAGAGCAGCTTGAAGCCCAAATCTCTGACACACATCTCTGATGCAGCTGAAACACTCAACAGTAGGTCGGACTGTAGGAACATTATCTCTGAGAGTTGATTTCAGGTTGGTGAAGCTGGACGCTCCATCTTTTTCCAAGTTGTCAGCTTTAACTCAGGAACGTTCAGAGCCAGCAATGTCTCCCACACGGTGGTGCTGCGCCCCCTGAAGGCCGGGTACTTCAACTTCACCTCTGCCTCCGTCAGCTACCTGGCCCAGGAGGGAGGACAAGTCGTGGTAAAAGCAGTTGATTATCCTCATGGATCACAGCAGTTCAACATGTAGTGAAGTGAAGGAAACTGAACTGTTTGTCCGTCCTGCAGGTCGGCTACACCAGCGCCCCCGGCCAGGGAGGCATCCTGGCTCAGAGGGAGTTCGACCGCCGCTTCTCCCCACATTATGTAAGTGTTCAGACTGATGATCAGAGCAGCAGAAACCCAGTGAACCGAACCTCTACACTGCTACACCCAGGAACACTGCTGACAAATCTATTTTATTTTGATATGAGCTGGGCTCTTGAAATCCATTGAATGTCTAGTACATGTACAGTATTACACCGTTACACTGTGATTCACTGTGACATGAATTATGTAAAAAATGATGATTTAAAAATACCAGGTTGCAGATTTGAAATCAGTCGGGTTTGAGACGTGGTCTTGATTGATTTGGTTAACCTTTATTTAGAACTGTAACACACAGTATTGTACAAATTTTATTTTTATTTTTAAGCCCGGTCTCTTTACTCAGTCAAACGTGTTCATGTAAATAAACAGCCAATCAGCATTATTAGATCTCGAACCAAGCATGCTGCATGACGCTGATGAGATGTACTCATTTTCTCCTTTGGTACCAATCAGAAAAACATTTTTCAATCCTCGATAGAATCAATTTATGATGTTTGAAGCCTAAATACAATCAGCAGAAGTAATAAGCTAATGTTAGGCTATAAATCAACTACACCACGGTCACATGACTTCAACGTCACCACCACTAAACTTCCCCTTGTGGTTTGATTAGCTCTGACCTCTTCTACCAAAGCCTCTAGAATAACTGTACAGGTGAGGTGTAGGTAGGCGTTCCTAATAAACTGCGGCTGCTTTAAAGAGATCAGGTAAAGACTTTGATCCTGTCGTCAACATTGGTACACTGTGCAGTTTATAGTTGCAGCTGATACATGAGGATTTACATTCAAATGGCACTTAGACATTCACAAAGGACGAGAACTGTTTTTGTTTTTTGGACTGACCCTTGAACCTTCCCTCACTTCCTGTTCTCCAGCTGGACTGGGCAGCCTTCGGTGTGATGACTCTGCCCTCCATCGGCATCCCTCTGCTCCTCTGGTACTCCAGCAAAAGGAAGTACGACTCACCAAAGGCCAAGAAGAACTGAGAGGACACTGGGGTTAAGGCTTGGGCTTGGGGTGGGGGGTGGGGGGTCAGTGGGCACAGGATCTCTGAATAACTTAATAACCCATATTGGGGGTGAAAGTTGAAAGAAAAGTACAGTGACCAAGAAACGTGCTGAGCAGCAGTGGAAGCAGCTGCTGGACTTTCCTTCATATGGCTTCATGTGGCAGAACAGTTACACTGGCAGTTACTGCTCTGACAGGGTTTTGCAGTTTTGTAATTGTGTGTGTAATGAACTGAATTCAGGTTTGTAGTCAGTTGTTCAACTGCAAAATAAATCAATAAAAACAGGATGGGTTTTTCTACAGCTGCGTCTGATTCCTGACATTTCACTGTCCAAAAAAAAACAACACAGATTTTAAGATTGTCCTGTGTAAACAGAGGTCTGTGCTATGAAGCAGGATCAGAGGTTATCAAGTTAACTTCAGGTTTAACTCCATTTTCAGTCCTATGGCACTGGTTCACTTGTTACCAGGGTAAATCTCCATGGTAACTGATGCTGAACTCCAAATCTGGGCCCTATTCCATCAAAGCAGATAAAGAAAAATCCTGGATTATTTTGTTAAATCTCACTCATATAAATCAGAGTTCTGTTCCATCTCTGTGGCTTATAGGATCCCATATGGTCAGTTCATAAGCCCATCACTATATATTTTTAAAATATGTAAAATCAATTAAAGGTGGAGGGGTCCATTCAAAACCTTATAAATAAAACAATTCTCACAAAAGTCAACAGATTACATTTTTTGCAGTATAGTGCAATGATGACATGGTGTTTTATCTAAAACTTTTATCTGTCTTGAAGAGTGATTCTATTTGTTTTCTACTTGATTTTTAATTTTTTTTTAAATTCTGACTTTAAACTCAGAATTCTGACTTTCTGATATTTGTACATTACGTCACGTGATTTTTTTTTTTTTTTTTTTACAATTCTGACTTTAATAAATTAAACTAAATCAAAGTCAGAATTCTTAAAACTAACTTCAAATGCAACGTCTGTATTTAATGACTATTTAAACTTCCTCCTTTATTTTGAAGACTGACAGCAAACCGGAAGTCATTTATCAATCAGTTTTGCGCGTCCTTGTCAAAAACGAAGTTAAAAGATAAGGCATGTTCTTGAATGTCTTAACTAGCTGTGAACGCCCCCCCCAGGTCGCTGAACTCGTATTTACGGTAAATCGGACATGATGACATCAGACTGCCGACCTGGGTGTTTTCCGCATTCCCCAACCGCCCGCGAGCGTCAGGGCCGAGCAGAGCGCTCAGAGTAGCACGCGCGCACATCCTGGGACATTTCTCCGGAGCAGGAGCAGCAACACATCCATGGGATAGACGGCGGTTCACGGGAGCATCCGAACCGGAATCCGAGCAGCAGCGCTGGGTGAGTACGTCTCTATTCAGCGGCTCTGTGGCCGAAGCTGCGTCTGTGTCGGTGGTCAGTGTGAGAACAACATGTCCGGCTTCATTTTTCCGTCTTTACTGATGAGACACTTGTCACCTGTGTCACCGCAGGGATCAGAGAGGTCTGGAGGCAAACTGAGTGTGGGTGAGATCTACACGTCTAAATAAATATAATGCTTAAAAAAAAAATAGGAAAAAATATATTATACTAAATATAAAGACATTTCCACACTGAGATAATTATTATTTATTCCTAAAACTGAGAAAGGTGATGGCGGTAATGATCTCTAGTCTTTAGTGATCCTTGGTTGTAACTTGTGCCTGTGTGTTGGTCCCGCTCTGACACTGAGGAGCTGATGTGACACTTGACATGATGCAGTTAATGTTCATTCCTCCTGTCAACAGGCTGCAGTGAACACCACCCAGGCTCTCAGCGAATCATAACAAATTAAGATGTATAATAATAATAATAATAGTAACAATAAAGAGACATATAATGAAACTAATAATAATAATGATAATAAAAATACAACAATAGCACAAGTAATATGACTAATAATAATGATAAAGAGACTAATAATAATAATAGTAATAATAATAAAGAGACAGATAATGAGACTAATGATAATAATATTAATATTGATATTAATAATAATAATAATAATAATAAAGAGACAGATAATGAAATAAAACGCTAAACTACAGAGAGAAGAAGTTAGGAGTATGTATTAATGGAGTATGAAGGAGAACAGTTGGAGAGGGGGAGGAGGAGCTCGGTGCATCATGGGAGTCCCCCCCCCAGCAGCGTAACTAAGAGCTGGTTCAGGACTCACCTGATGCAGCTCTGACTATAAGCTTTATCACAGAGGACAGTTTGAAGCCTGATCTCAGGTGTAGAGAGGGAGTCTGCTTCCTGGACCTAGACCGGGAGCTGGTTCCTCAGGAGAGGAGCCTGACAGCTGAAGGTTCTACCTCCTGTTCTAGTCTTAGAACCTCTAGGAACCAGAGTAGACCTGCATTTAGAGGAATGTTAGTGGAGGTAATGAAGCTAACACAGGAGAGATATGATCTCATGTAGTTCCTGTCAGCACTTGCACCGCAGCATCTTGCATCAAGTGTGTGTGTGTGTGTGTGCGTGCGTGTCAAGATCCATCCAATCCATCACACACAAATGTATAGATATATAAATACATTTATTGTGTGTGTGTGTGTGTGTGTGTGTGTGTGTGTGTGTGTGTGTGTGTGTGTGTGTGAGAATCACAGGTTGTAGCTTGTCAGTGTAAAACCTGTATAAACTACAGGTGTTTGCAGCAGGTACAGCCTCTGCTGAGAACCTGTAATTTAAAACCTGGGTTGGATTGCATGGGTGTGGAGGGCAGAAGGGGGGGCCTGGGGGTGGGGGGGCTCAAGTATGTCTTGCCCAGGGGCCTCTGCAGCTGTAGTTTCTTCACCTCGTGTGTGTGTTTGTGTGTGTGTATGTGTGTGTGTGTGTCAGAGCAATAGTCATTTTGCTTTCAGGTTGTCCGTCTGTCCGTCTTGTTGTCGTGGACACGATCTCTCAGAAACACTTGGACTGAACTCCTTCAGGTTCGGCACAAACATTGACTCAAAGATGAACTGATTAGATTTCTGTGGCTAAAGTCAAAGAGAGAAGCTGATGTCACACTGAAGGTGGGGAGCCGTGTGATAGAAGAATCAGAGAGGGAGGGGGGCAGGACAACACTTCCGTTATAATATAAATAAAATATTAAAATAAATAATACACTTAATCCTCAGGTGAGTCACAGAAGGGACAGAGAGCTGATGATGTCACAGTGGGCGGGGCAGGGGCAGAGCGTGTGCACCTGTAAGCTCGAGTTGACTTATTGTAATATGGCAGCACAACGTTAAACAGCCCCGCAGCACAACCTGAAATTAGGAAGTGCTACACCAACATGTGGTGTGAACCTCCGTGGAAACTGATGATGTCATCCACCTTCCTCATAGATAGTAGACTGTAGAAATACAGATACAGTAAAATAATGTCACGAGTCTCAGAAGAACATTCATGTTAACCTCAAGGTGCTGGAACGAACTAGATCAAATGGTGAATTCACACAGACGCCACAGTGCTCGCTGCAGTACGTCAGTGTCGTCGCCATATTGGAGCGAGAAGACGGGCCTGTGAGGAAATAGGAATAAACGGAGGAGCTGCAGTTTTTTTCTGTATAAAAAGAACAATAACGTTTATATAGATATGGTTTTTATATTCAAGCGTTTCTGATCCACGAGCTGTAAAAATAAAAGTCTCCAGTTACTTAGAGACGTGACAGTTTGGGCTGTAACAGGGTTTTCTGTAGGAGGGTGTGTGTCTGGTTGACATGACGTGAATCACAGAGAAGCACTCTGACCATAAATGACAAATAGGATATAAATATATGGAGGTTAATACTGACTGGCTGGAGTCACAGCGGCCGACTGATGGCAGCAGCTCTTTGGTTTGAATCAGGAAAAACCTTGAAGTGGAAAAACCTTTGTGACCTTGAGCTCGTGTGCAGTCACAGTATTTTTAGACAGAGGGTCAGATAACATCTGTTCGAATCTGGAACTACATGTTTCTGGGTGAAGTCCAGTGCAAACAAACTAACACACACTCCGAGGCCCCGAGCCTCAAGCAGCAGCTGCAACTAAAATATGTTTCACTGTGTTTAAACACTGAGAGTCTGAAGAACTGGTTTCTCTCCTGAGCTTCTGTTTTTATATTTATTCTTCACCATTTATTGCTGATTGTGTATCTCGCCTGTTAAATTGATGTTTTGGACCATTAGGTTTTTCCTTTAGGATTGAGGTGTTTTGTGGCTGAAATTATATTTTGTACCTGCAGAGACTTATTATGTTTTTTGTTTTTTTTTATGCCTTTATTTGATAGTGCAGTAGAGAGAGACAGGAAGTGGGGGGGCAGAGAGAGGGGGAATGACATGCAGTAAAGGCCGTCCGATGCGGGACTCGAACCGGAGCGAGGACTGTAGCTTCTACACATGGGGCGCCTGCTTAGACCACGACGCCCCATGTTTCTTTACTTGTATTCTATTTTCTGTTTCTGATTTGTGTGAAATAGATAAATGAAATGAAACCCCTGTACCTGTAAAGGTAGAGCTCATCACGTCAGATCTTTATCAGCAGGTGCAGTAGACTCTGTCAACACACCTGGACAACAGCGTGCTCTGTGGTAATATGTCACCTGTGCTGTGTGTTACTCAGGTGTAGGTCTGGTGTGTGCAGAGTGCAGAGAGGATCATGAACCGCTGGACGTCGGCTGTTCAGTAGCAGGGAGTGGACTCATAAACCAACATGGCCGTCTTCAAGCCCGAGAACGTGGAAGACTTCTATGAGATCGGGGACGTCCTGGGCAGGTAAGGATGGCACGGTGCCGTCGTTACAGAGTCTGTTGTCGTGTCGTGATTCCAAACGGTGACGATGACGGTGAAGTGTTAATTTCCAGCTGTGAGATTCTGCCACGACAACCAGAGCTGCTGTCACTGCACAGCTGTGGCTGTTTCCTCAGCAGTGATGTCTCTGTTATCAATATCAGGTGTCAGACAGGTAAGGTAGGTAAGGTAATAACAGCGGTCACTTTGGGTTTTTACATCTCCTCCTCACATCCCTCTGCTCACTGTGGGAAACCGTGTGAAGTGTGCTGGTTTGACTCAGAGGTTCACATCCTCATGTGCAGGAACCGATGTGTTTCATTATTTATGCTCCTGACTGACTTTAACGTCCAACTGCAGGAGCAGAACAGGAACTGAGAGCTGATAAAAACACATGGCCAGAGTCATATTGACATTTAAGGTGTATTGATTGATTTCCAAACGTCAATCATACATCGAGTAACACACAAGAAAACATTCCACCTTAAAAGATGGTGGTGCTGCTGCAGCCTCTGAGCTGCTCAGTGATTAAATGGTTAATTAGTGAAGAATTAAAGACAGAAAACATCCTTTTATTCATCCTTCCCTCTGTTTCTTTATCTGTGATGCTTTTACACAGAAACATGACAGAGTCCGTCTGTTACACTTGGACAGTAAGCTAGCTTAGCTACGTTTTCATAGTGTGATTTCACTTGCTCGACACGAGTCAGTAAATGAAATCATTCAAAACACAAACTACTTGTGTTCATTCACCTGCTGCTTAATGCTAAGCTAACTACAACCTGCTACATCCATTGTGAAGTCTGATATCCCTGATCAAACTGTTCATAAAGTCGTGATCATGTCGTGAAATGCAGTTGAAACAGTAAAGACACACGTCCAGTCACATGACTTCCTGTCTGACAGCAGCTGTCGCAGGTAAAGAACCGACTGTCTGAGTGTTGACAGTGGATCATGTCTCTGCTCCAGTGGGCACTTTGGTCAGGTTCGGCGGGTCTGTGAGCGAGCGTCCGGGACGTGTTGGGCGGCCAAGTTCCTGAAGATCCGGAAGAGCGCGTGCAGCCGCCTGGGGCTGGAGCGGAGCGGCGTGGAGCAGGAGGTGGAGATCCTGCAGGCCATACAGCACCCGAACATCGTCACCCTCAAAGACGTTTTTGAGAGCCGAGCTGAAGTGGTGCTGATCCTGGAGCTGTGAGTACACAAGAGTGTGTGTGTGTGTGTGTGTGTGTGTGTGTGTGTGTGTGTGTGTGTTCCCAGGTTAATTCAGTGTGAGCCGAAGACATTTCAACTTGTCAGGAACACACACAGCTGTCACTTCCAGTTTAAGTGCTGGCTCTGTTCTATGTAACTGTCAGTAACTCTCAGCAGGTCGACCCTGAACCGAACCTGAGGGAAGGGTGTGTGCACACACACCTTAAACACACCACTCCCTGCCAGTCAGTCAATCCTGCTTCCACTTTATATAGAAATATCAGCTCAGTGACAAGCTTCAGTGGTTCAGAGGTCAGCAGGAAACTGAGTCCAGGATCACAGGTCTTCATCATCAGGGATGAAGATGCTGATGAACTCCTGCAGCAGTGGGAGGTAATAATGAGGCAGGTCGACAGAACAGCTGTATGTTATGACTAAAGAGTGAAAGTTTCAACAAATAATCTTCCGAGTTTTATTTCAGACATGGAGGCAGTTTGTATCTGACCTCTGGTGACCTTGAGAGGTCAATGACCTCAGCATTGCATTTCTGCCCCATTCCTCTATTATATATGTGATCCTGTTTATCTTTGACAAAATTGCATGAAGATGCTTATTTGCTGCTGTGGTTGTGTAACATCATTTTGCTTAGAGCACCAGTCCTGATTCTAGTTTCTATTGGCTTTAATGGAGGTCAAATCTGAACATGTGCAGTCAGCACATATTTCAGGACTCGTGTGTGTATAAAGGCTTTCCGTGCTGCTTTCAGGTAGACAATATTAAAGGCAGAAAAATGTCACTAACTACTTAAATATATAACGTGTTGAAAGTTGAAGTTGTTGCTGCTGAAGGAAGGTCCGGCTAAACATCACAACTGCCTGTAGTGAAGTTGTACGTCACCTGCATGAACTCAAACTGATTTTCTGCCGCATCGTGATGAATCATGGTGTCTGTCGTTGTCCTGTGACGAGTGGCTTTCATCTCCCTGTGCATGAGCTTCACACAGGGGGAACTCAACTGACTGAACTACTTGATATCACCTGTTCTGACACTGAAGACTCAGAGTTAATCAAACCAGAGTTCAGGTTTGAACTCAGAGTTTGTTCTGTCTGGTATTGTAGCGTCAGCGGAGGCGAGCTGTTTGACTTCATCGCTGAGAAGGAGAACCTGTTGGAGAGTGAGGCCATTGAGTTCATGAAGCAGATCCTGGAGGGGCTGGGATTCATGCACAGCAAGAACATCGCCCACTTTGACCTCAAGGTAACAGTGACCCCCCCCCCCCCCCCCCCCCCCCCCGCCCCCCCCCCCCACCCCCCCCCCCCCCCCCCCCCCCCCCCCCCCCCCCCCCCCCGAACTGTGGGCTTCAAATCACATTAAACTACGTTCACCTGCCGTAATGATGTTATTCTCTCCGTTCAGCCAGAGAACATCATGCTGTCAGACAAGGTGTCTCCACACCCCGACATCAAGCTCATCGACTTTGGCCTCGCCCACCGGTTCCACCAGGGGGAGGAGTACAGGAGCACCAGCGGCACGCCCCAGTACATCGGTGAGGAAGACGAGTCCTTCACTTGACACGACACTCCTCCGTCTGTCACACTTCTTCTGTGGTAGAACCAAATCAAAGAACCGCAGATAAGACACCCCACAGGTGGTAGTCCTGAAGGACCAGTGACGTCACAGGAAAAGCAATAAAGCTTTTACTCAATTTCATATTTTAACAGGCGTTAAGAATAGGAATTGTTAAAAGAATTTGGATTCCCTCTTCAATTTCCATTTCCTTTTTCCAGCTGCTTTTCATATTAGCTCATCAGCTTAGTAATTTAGCTTCTCCTGTTAGCCTCTCTGTGACGCTCTGCACCTTCAGTGCTGGTAAAACCTGATATGACTGGTTAGCTCTCCAACCAATCAGAGAGCTTCTTAAATCCTGTGGCCAATTGGGATTGTTTAGCCTGGTTTTACAGTGAAGGCCCAGAGAGTCACGGAGAAGCTAACAGGAGAAGCTAAATGAAGCTAATGAAGCTAATCGATTAGCTAACTGGAAAAGGAGAAGCAGCTGGAAAAAGGAAATGGAAATTGAATCCAGGAAGGTGTTCCCACTTTTAAAATGCCCTTTAAATAGGTTTTTCAATTCTATTATTTATTCATGAGTTAATAAATGTATTTATAAATGGTATTTTGTAAATCCACTTTATTAAATAAATCTTTAGTATTTATTGATTGTTCATTTATAAGTTCTTTTTACAATTCCTATTTTTAATGTCTGTTAAAATATGAAATTAAGAAAATGCTTTATTACTTTCCTGTGACATCCCTGGTCCTCCTCTGATGTAGACAGACGCTTCATCCCCACCAGTGCCACCAGAGGTTAAAGTACTTATTAGCTGTAATAAAGGGAAAGGAAAAAAGCTCATTTCTAACTCTAACCCGAATCCTCACGTTAACCTGAAAGGTCCAGATGGAAGAAAAATGCATCATCTGCTCCTCAGTGGAAACAGAGTCTGTAACTGTGTCCGAGTCCAGAGCAGAATATCAATACGCCTGTCTTTACAGTGCTCGACGCTCCTTCCTCCGCTGCTCAGTGAACAGCGTAGGAGACGTAATACTTCACTCTTATCAAACTATTGATGAATTAGTCCAAAAGATTGAAAACAAAACCAACAGCCTGTTCACTGCAGAGCTTTTTCAAAGTAGTGTGGTCAGACGCAGCAGAGACGTCACTGAGCCACAGTGTCGACAAAGGGTTTTATTAATAAAGTAGGTCTACTGGATTCATACAGAATATTATATATGTATGTATACAGCCATATTCTTGCTACGTGACAGTTAAAATAACGAGAATATTTTCCATGGACGTAAAATGATCTATTTTCAAATCTAAAACGGCGCGAGGAGTCCAGATTCTGGATGTTTGAATTTGTGAGAAGCAGCAGAAGAAGTTTTGAAAGTCAAATCAGAAAACAGTGTTTTCACACCCCCCCACCCCCCACCCCCACCCCCACATCTCTCTCTTTCAGCCCCTGAGGTGATCAACAATGAGGCTCTGAGCACAGCAGCAGATATGTGGTGAGTGTTGTGTCCTCACACAGTGTTCTGCATATTTTCTCATGTACAGAAACTACACACACACACACACACACACACACACACACACACATACACACACACGTATAAGCCTTTCGCTACTATTTTCAGTGTCACTGCTCTGTGTCTGTATGAGGAGGGTGAATTCTTCTGTCAGTGGCGTGTCTGGGCCTGATCTGGGCCTCACTCGGGTCTCAGCCTGGTTGTCATGACTCCCTGTGTCTCTGTGTCTTTCTCCTCCAGGAGCATCGGAGTCATTACATACATACTGTAAGTTCAAGTGTGTGTGTGTGTGTGTGTGTGTGTGTGTTGGGAGGCATGTGAGCATGTGCAGACATTAAACAAGCCTTTCTCAAAGTGTGGTTTGTGGACCACTAGTGGTACACAAGTGACCCCTGGTGGGCCACGAGTAAATTAGTTCAAATATGTTTTAACTTCAGTGTTTCTCAAACTGTGTGAGTGACTGATCTTTAAAAAAAAATCATGAATTTAAAACATTGAGCTTTTTATGTGTGTATGATGTATATTACAATCAGCTGATGGGAGTGTGTGTGTGTGTGTGTGTGTGTGTGTGTTACAATCATGGTTATATTTGGTTGCATATGTTAAACTGTGGGAGGGCAAATTAACTTTAGTGTTGATTTAATACTATAAATAATAAGTACTTTATTATTGGGAAACAGGTCAGATATCGTGTTGAGACGGGAACAGCGGACGATGGTGAACTGTGAGCAGCTTCCTCTGTGTGGACGGATGTAGACGTGGTCTCTCACTCTCTCTGTCTCCCTCTGTCCTCAGACTGAGCGGTCTGTCACCGTTCCAAGATGAGACTGATGAAGAGACCCTGAAGAACATCATCGCCTTGAACTATGAGTTTGATGCTCAGAGTTTCAGCATGACCAGCTCCATGGCCAAAGACTTCATCCAGAAACTCCTGCTGCAGAGCCCCAGGTCGGCTGTCCAGGTCCAGCATGTGTTTATCCAGAATCATGATATGATGAATTACCTGACGTCTTATTACATGTGATGTGTCATTTAAAGACATAAGTACAGGTAGGTGTTACTCCTCTCCTCACCTGTTGTCATCTTCGTTGTTGTGTTGCAGTGAGAGAATGACAGCTGAGGAGTGTCTGCTTCACCCATGGATTAAGGTAGCAACACACACGACACTGTTCAGGCTCTAGTGGTTTACAGCACCGTGTTGTAAACAACATGATGCTGTAAACAACGTGATGCTGTAAACAACATGATGCTGTAAACAACACAGTGCTGTAAACAACACGATGCTGTAAACAACACGATGCTGTAAACAACACGATGCTGTAAACAACACGATGCTGTAAACAACACGGTGCTGTAAACAACACGATGCTGTAAACAACACAATGCTGTAAACAACACGATGCTGTAAACAACACGATGCTGTAAACAACACGATGCTGTAAACAACACAGTGCTGTAAACAACACGATGCTGTAAACAACACAGTGCTGTAAACAACACGATGCTGTAAACAACACAGTGCTGTAAACAACACGATGCTGTAAACAACACAATGCTGTAAACAACACGATGCTGTAAACAACACAGTGCTGTAAACAACACGATGCTGTAAACAACACAGTGCTGTAAACAACACGATGCTGTAAACAACACAGTGCTGTAAACAACACGATGCTGTAAACAACACAGTGCTGTAAACAACACAGTGCTGTAAACAACACGATGCTGTAAACAACACAATGCTGTAAACAACACAGTGCTGTAAACAACACGATGCTGTAAACAACACAGTGCTGTAAACAACACGATGCTGTAAACAACACAGTGCTGTAAACAACACGATGCTGTAAACAACACAGTGCTGTAAACAACACGATGCTGTAAACAACACAGTGCTGTAAACAACACAGTGCTGTAAACAACACGATGCTGTAAACAACACGATGCCATAAACATATAGCAACGTGTTGTTTACAGCATGTTGCGGATAGAGAGAACAGATGTTTCTGTCTTTTTCAGCCAATCACACGCAAACAGGCGGCCAATAGGAATAGATCCTCAATCAATATGAAGAACTTTAAGAAGTTCAACGCCAGGAGGAAATGGAAGGTGAGTCTGGAGAGTTCTCCACCATCCAGGTACGATCCTTAACAACATTCAGGGGTTGTGTCTTGGTCTGTGTAAGCTTTAAAAACCCCCCCCCCCCCCCCCCCCAGATGTCCTTTAACATGGTGTTAATGTGTAACCGGCTGGTCCAGTTGAGGCTGCCGTGTAAGGGAAGCTCAGATCCAGATCCACTACAGGTGAGTCACTTTCTGTCGTTTGTTTTTCAATCTACTTTAGTTACGTCAGTTTTCAAGAGACACTCAACACTCAACATCTATAACAGTTATAATACATCAGTGATAATAAGTCACTAATGTAGTGTTTATACCAGTTAGACCAGGTCAGACCAACATTAGACCAGGGTTGGACCAGGTCAGACCAGGTTAGTTATGTATGATATGTAAAAAGAAGAAAAAAGACCATCAAGAAAAAAACATCTGTTAAAAGATTTAGTTTGAGGCATGTGAGTAGTTTTGTTTAGATCCACGTTGTGAAGTGAACGAATGAGAGCTGAACCTGTAATGATGCTTTTCCCCAGAGACAATGTGAAAGTGACGTCGAGGATACAGAGAGCAAACCTGCCTCTCTGCTGCGCCGAAGACTCATCAGCAGTTCATAGAGCTGACCGGGGGGGGGGCAGCTGGGTCCAGGTCCAGGTCCTGGAGGGTCGGATCACTGAGGGGACATGTTCCACTGTTCAAGTGAGATGGATGACGAAGTGTTACACACTGTCGCAGAAGTGCCTGGGACGTCTGATGGACTTCTCTTCATGACGAAATAAACTCACTGAAGACACGTGGCTTTCATGGTTCTGGTTCGTGTTCTGGTTCTGAGGGTCAGACTGGATCTGGATCTGATTTGATAACACAATGAGCACAGCTTTGTGGAACTGTATTTACAGAAAATGTGAAGCTAAATTTATGTCCAAGTCTTCCATGACATTTACACTGATGCCAATGTTTTAGAGACGTACACACACACACATATAAATATATATATACAGTATATATTTATAAATATAAATATATATGTGTGTGTATTCTTGTTTTAATGTTTTCCTGTGAAGCCTGAAACACACAAACGCATGAAGTTCAGCTAATAAGAAAACGATGGTTTGTTAATACCGACATTTTGTTTCCTGTCAGTTGTGATCATGAAGTGAATACAGCTGAGATCTGGGAGCAGTGACATCACCGCAAACAGGTCAGACAGCTGATGAAGCATGAGACACCCCCCACCCCCCCCCACTTCAACTTTGACCCCTGTAATTATCCCAGCTGTGAGCACCCTCAGTTCTCCTGGTAGATTGTTATTGGTGGTTACTGTGGTCACACCCCATTGGACGTATTTTTAGTGACATCACATCATGAATTCCTGAGGTGAACACAGTGTTATCGTACCTGAGCTGGAATAAACCTCAGGCCCCTTTAAAACGATGACTTCACCACAAAATGAAAAGTTTCAGCTTTGGGTGGGTGTGGTTACAAGACACCTTTGCTCCACCTGTAACCGTCCCAAGCAGTGATGTCACGGCGTACTCACACAGTCTCAGGTGCACTTCACTCACAAATATCCTGAACATTTTTGATCTTCATAAAACAATCTCATGTAGTCTGTTTTTTTTTTTGTTGTTGTTTTTTTTAAATGATTGGTTGTATCTTTGCTCGTTACCTGCACGCTTGGTTGCCATGGAAACGTAGAAACGCTCCCCTGGCTTCTCATCCGTGTTGACTGAAGAGTTCCTCATGAGGACATCTAACATGATGTTTTGTTCAGCTGCTGTTTCCAAGCAACCTCACATCCACTGATGTTCAAACATCAGCACAGAGCTGGGAGGGAATCTGGGGGTCGGGGGGGAGTTTTGTGTGTTTTGGGGGTTTTTATGGGTTTTGTGGACGTGATGCCAGTGAGTGTTTGAATCAGTGCTGTACATATTATGTCTTTTGTACTGTCATGTGCTGTATACATTTAAAATGGTACATTCATGCATGTCATAAACAACCTCACTACCTACAGTCGTATTTTATTATTAATATTTTGAAAAAATGCCAAAGCTCATCACGTTGTCTCTGTTCTCAGTCCAATGTGTCTGTGACTGTTTCATTTCCTGTTCATGTTGCTCAGTTGAGTCATGTGACTCAGATCAGCCAATCTAATCAATGTCCACCAATCACATGTGACAGACCTGGACTGGTTAAAGGTGACGGTTAGAATAAAGGACATTTTTGATTAATAATTGAGTTATTCTTGTATCAACAGCACAGTGTTATGGTGACCTCTGACCTTTGGACACTCACTGCATGTGTTGCTTGTGTTTGTTTTTTGTTTGTTTGTTTTTTGTAAATTTTGTAATAAATTAGGTACAAAAGCGCAAAACAACAACAACAAACTAAATATAAACAGAGTAGATCAAAATATTCAAATATGAAATAAAAATAAAAACTTACATATTCAATAGTGAGGTCATTTTCTAATAATATAAAAAGATATTTCACTTGTTTAGATTTTATTAATTTCACGGACTAAGTATATATAGTTTTAATTCATTATAATAAGACGTGACGATCTGTGGGGACTTTATAAATTTAGCCTTATGGACAAAATAATTTGCTAAAAATTTTGTGTCCTCTAGTAATACACCAAAAACAATACTATTATAACCTATAGTAGTAATTGCTGTGGTTTTGTTTCTTAACCATTCCACCTTCACAGAAAATGCAGTTGTTTCCTGTGTTGGTGTCACCTCAGCCAGCTGAGACACTCACAGGTCACATGAACCTGTGTTTCACTCTGACCATGCAGATCAGCCCATGGAAACAGTGGCAGTGGAGACAGAGCTCCTTCCTGTTGTGCTGCAGTGTTGTGCATGAACCTGCTCACTTTTTGCTGAACGATGAACTGAATGAAGCTGTTTGCTGAGAGTGGACTTGCTCGCACACCAGAAGGTGGCAGGAATGCACCAAAATACTGTCTGCCAACCACCAAATAAACCCAAATAACACCAGAAGAAGAGCTTTTTTTAAAAATTTTTTTTTTTTATGACAATCAACAGTCAAAAAGGCACAAATCACATTCAGGATAAATGCAGAAGCTGTAGGAACAACTGAGCAAGCAGTAATACAAATATAAATATAGATCAGAGGAAAGAAAATGGAAAAATAGATAAATAATAAGAAAAATAAGGGAAAAAACTTAATAAACAATTATACATATAAAACAAAAATAAAAGGGACAAAATAAGAGATCAGTCAGGTATTAAAGTGGGTATATATTCATACAGATGATGGGCCTTTTTACTATTACAGCATTTCATATATTTTATACACAGTATTATTTCATTTAAATAAGCATCAAATATAGGTGTGGTTTTTAAGAAACGGCATTTATGTATAAAATATTTTGCTTAAAGTATTTTCATTCCCAAACTCCATGTTTTTGTTTTCCATTTGAAGACCAAATTTTATAATTTTATATGTCAGAGAAAAACAATGTAAAACAATGTGCTTATTACATGTCATCCAATACTGGAAAGCTTCCCAAAATTTCCTGGTTAAATTACAATAAAAAAGAGATGTTCTATGGTCAGGAGAAAAAGAACTGTTGGTTGTACTAGAGCCCGAGGGCGCTGTTGCTGGGCAATTCCTGAAGGCAGTAAACCAATGACGTCGTGACGCGTCATCAACACTCGACCCAGCGCCTTACTCCAAAAACGAAACGGAAGAAAACACACCAGTCGTGCACTGGGACCACATCACTTACAAGACTGGAGAAACCCGTTTTTTAAACGTGTTTAATGACACTCTGTTGTACAGTGACTTTAGCTGTAGGTCGGTGGACGAACACACTCGGTGGCAAAAAACAACAACCAGCTGAAAGCAGAGCGCGAACTTAGCTAACATTTAGCTAACATTTGTTCAAAAAGAAGAAGAAGAAGCTAACAACAGTCGAACAACTTGGCGCCTTTTGGATGAAGAACATAATTAACTTACACTGAGCAACACAATGGATTCCTGCACAGCTGACTTACCCACTGCAGTGGCACATGACTCTCCAGGTAGTTAGATAATCAATGTTATTTTTAATTTTGGCTGAAGAGGGAGACGTTTTAGTGGACGACGTTGTAGCTAAGAGCTTAGTTGATAAAGCATTGATTTCACAGCAGCTAGCTTCTGTTTAACACAGTGAAGATGTTGGAGTTTACACTGATCAGATTCAATAACTTCAGGTTCAGACCAGGCTCATGCGAGTTTTAGCGGTTTGTTTGGCCTGCAGCAAAGTAAGTTTTAAATGAAAGTACTGGTAGTATTTGTAATAAACCCAGGTGGAAATCAGCTCAACTAATATTTACTAATATTTTTACATTGTGGTATTTGGATAGTACTTTTTCCACCACTGTCTATCGTACTTCTATTATTGAGGTATTTCCATTTAATACTACCTTATACTTCAGGACATGTCATACAGAAACATTGTACTTTTTACTCCAGTACATTTATCTGACAACTAAAGTTAAATTGTTTTACGTGCAAAGCGTATGATCAACTTATAAAATATGATACAATTTTTGATTAATGTGGCAATTACTTTCTTGTTAATTAATTGTTTTGTCAATGAGTTTTTTTCAAATTTACAATTGATATCTGTAAGATAATAGTGAAAAATGAGCGTTGTAATTTCCTCACAATTGAAAAGCTGCAACCAGCGAACGTTTGGCATTTTTACTTAATGTAACATATGATACATATACTGAGTATTAAACTACCCACAAGAATATTAAATTTGCCGCTCATTTGTTAACGTCTCTGTATCTGAGACACATACAGGGAACATTTATAGCTTTTCATCCTAATTTGTCTTTACTTCTATTTTTCCTATCACCCTTTACTGTCAAAGAAAGGCAAATGGCCATGTCAGCGGTCGATCACTGTGACTGATCACTATAAGCAGTTTCCACTGTATTTTCAACTGGACATATTGTGGCCTTTTGAAATCAAAAGGTGGTAAATTTATATGTTAATATTTCCTGTTGTAGCTTCTGATGACTCCTCAGACGATGAGCCGTTGATAAAGAAGAAAACAACTTCTGCAGCTGCTGAGAAACCTGAGAAAAAAGAAACCACATCGTCCCGATCTAATGGCGCAAATAAGAACGCAGGTGATTACATCACCGTCTATCTGTAACTATTCTGCAGCAGTGATGTGTTGATCTGTGTCCGGAGAGATCACCTGTAAAGTTTGCTTTATGCACCTTTTTCAGATTTGAACAGAGGTGACAGCTCAGACTGTGAACCTCTGAGTAAGATCGCCAAAGTGTCCTCCAAAGCTGCTAAGAAGCCTTCCTCAGTGTCTCCAAAGAAATCTGTGGACACAAAGAAAAAAGGTGAGAGAAATTTCCCTCCACGAACCTGCAGCTTCAGCAGAAAGCAAAGGTTTTGGCAGATATCACAGCTTATCAAGAGTCTCTCTGTTCTTGATTTAGAAATTTCCACCCACTCTTCCTGCAGATTTGTATTGCAGACACAGCATGTTTAAGATCACAGATATTTCGTGATGTTCAGGTCAGGGTCTGTTCCAAAAGCTCCAGCTTGTGTGTCTTCAAGTGGTTCATGGTGGATTTTGAAATCTGCTTTAGATCTTTGTCCTGTTGTAGAAACCAGCCTGTTTCACTGTCACTTACTTGACTTACTGCAGGACAGTTGCATCCAGAATTTGCTGATATTCAGTTGCATCCATTCTTCCCTCTATCTGTGCAGTGTTTCCTGTGCCTAAGCAAAATATTTCCACCCCCATAATTAAAAGTTGACAAGATGTTCGTCTCTTCAAGTGCTGCTGCTTTTATTCTCCAAACACACTTTGAGTGATTGTGGCCAGGGAGCTCAGTTTTCACATCATCTGTCCACAGCACATCAACTCTGGCTTATCCAGATGTTTCTCTGCAGACTTCAGACATTGACTTTTGTGATGAAGTTTCCCTCTGATGACTTCCATGTATGAATTTGCGCATCAGTGCTGCACAGTGGAACAGTGCATTACCATCCCTTTGTCAGCTAAACCTCCTGCAGCTCTCTGCAGTCATATTTTGTAGGTGTGTTCTTCATTTTCAGATCGTCAGTCAGCTGCTGGAGGAGCCTCTGGTTGTTGAATATTACCAGTGTTCTGTACATTTCTCCAACTGAAGTCTTAAAACAAATGTAAGTCTCTCCATACAGTAAATTTCTTGAATGATCCCATGCCACTGGACCAATGTTGGGGGATCTAGTTGCAACCACCTTCTGGTTATGGCTTTCCTACCACTTGCCAAAAGAATCTTCAACAAGTACCTGTCCTTATGTAGGACTGTTTCCGGAATTTTACTGAGATATAAACCAACAAAAGAAAAAACTAAATCCACCCCTATTATTTTATTCATCTCGGTTGACACCTCCCTCCAAAATAACTGGATTTTCGGACAGGCCCAAAAAACATGAAAATGGTTAGCCATAGAGGTTCCACATTGTCTCCAGCAGAAGCCTCGGCTCTGTGTGCCTGTTTGTAGTGCTGTTAATTTAGGAGTTATGAAAAATCTCACTACATTCTTCCAGCCGAACTCTCTTAATGATCTTGAATTTGCAGTGGTCGCTTGTGTCTCACATATTTCTATCCAGGTCTCTTCTGAAATTTGTGTTTCTGACTCCTTCTCCCATTTTTGTTTAATGGATAACGTAGAGTGATTTTTAGAGGCTTGTATACTTCCATATATTCCTGAGACCAACTTTTTATTATCTGTCTTTTTATATGTCTCATGAAATATATAAATAAAATTGTATTCCTTCTCCTCCTTGATTTGTAATTTTTTATTATAATAGTCTCTGACTTGCAGGTATCTATGGAAGTCCTGCTTCTCCAGTCCCGAAATTGACTCATAAGTCTGAAATGTACTGTTTGAGATGAGGGAACAAAAAGACGTGATACCTCTCCTAACCCACTGTTTAAAGCCCCCGTCCAATCTAGCAGGTTCAAATTCTGGATCATATGCTATCCAATTCAAGACTCTAGCCTGTTTCTCTATTTGTAACTTCCTCAAAACTTTAAACCATAGTTTAAGAGTGAATACAGTCCATTGATTCAAGCTATTATAATGTCTTTCAGCTTGGTTTTTATTTCCTATTATAGATTGTATTGGAATTTTCAACTGTGTAGTTTTCAAGCATTTCCATTTAGATTCATAATTTGGAGAGCACCAGTATACTAAGGGTTTCAATTGTGCAGCATAATAATGATCCTGTAAACATGGTAAAGCTCTTCCTCCCTTCTCTTTTTTCAGCTGCAGAGTCTTGAACTGAACCCTAGGTCTTCTACTGTTCCAAATGAACCTTGAGATCCAGGCATTCCACTCATCAAATTGTTTTTGGGATACCTCTAGAGGCAGACACTGGAAGAGATAAAGAAGCTGTGGCAACACATTCATTTTAATGATTTCTATTCTGTTACTCATATCCAGTGGGGGGAGGGTCCATCTAGAAATATCAGATTTGATCTCTTTATTAATGGGGCTGTAGTTATTTTCAAAAAGTTTTGACATATCTTTAGTAAGGTTTATTCCTAAATATTTTATTTTGGGCGAATCCCATTTAAAATTATATTTCCCTTTAATATCTGGGTGGGGAATATAGTTAAATGTAAGGGTTTGGGTTTTTTGGATATTAAGCTTATATCCAGAGTATAAATTATATTTTTTTAGCAGGGACATCAATTTAGGGATGCTGGAGTCTGGGCTTGTAATAAAAAGCAGAACATCATCCGCAAACATACAAATCTTATGTTCTTCTCCTCTAATCATAGTCCCCTTTATCTCAGAGTCCTCTGTAATTGCTTGAGCGAGGGGTTCAATAAATAATGCGAATAGGGTCGGACTCAGGGGACAGATTTGGCGTGTCCCTCTTTCCAAATGAATAGTTTGCGACAGGTGTCCATTAACCCTGATCCTGGCTGTTGGAGAGAAGTATAACGCTCTAATACATTTAATAAAACCATCTTTGAAGCCGAATCTTGCAAGTACGCTGTATAGATATTCCCAACCCACCGAGTCAAATGCCTTTTCGGCATCTAGACTGACTAACATTGCACTGATGTTTTCTGATGTAATATGACTCACCACCTGTAGTGTTCTCCTTAAATTATCCTGTGTCTGTCTGTTTAATACAAAGCCTGTTTGGTCTAAGTCTACCAGCTCCGGAACAATGGATTCCAGTCTCTTAGATAGGATTGAAGCAAATAATTTATAGTCTACATTCAAGACTGATATTGGTCTGTATGAGCTGCATTCCTTTTTATCTTTTCCTTCTTTCAGGATGATAGAGATAACTGCTTCCTTCCATGATTGGGGGGCTTCTCCTGTTCTCAGTGTATGGTTGAAACAGTTAAGCAGGACAGGTGTTATCTGTGGTTTGAATGTTTTATACCACTCGGACGGATAGCCGTCTGAACCTGGAGCCTTATTAGCTTTCAATCTCGAAATGGCTTTGTTCAGTTCTGCTGTTATCTCAGCCATAATTTCTTTATTTTGTTGTTCTCCTATAGATGGTGAATCTAGTGAACTTAGAAAAGACTCTATTGTTGTATATCTGCCATGGCCGGTTGGGTATATAGTTCTTTATAATATAGTTCAAAGGCATGTTGAATGTCCTCTGATTCACTGCAAACCTTTTGTGTCTTGGGGTTTCTAATCTTATAAATCATATTTTTCCCACGTTGTTTTCGAATCCTCCAGGAAAGTAGTTTCATCGCCCTATGCCCTGTCTCATAACACCTTTGTTTGGTAAATTTAAGTTGTTTTTCAATTTCTTCATCATATATGCCATTTATAACCTGATTAATTTTGTTTATTTTATGTAATTATCTGAGGAATCTTTTTGTTCCATGTGTCTAGTTTCTAATGACTTCATTTCCTCTTGTAGTTCAACAAGTCTTTCTCTGTTTTTTCCTTTTTACGAAAAAGCCGTGAGGGCAATATTTTGCCGCGACAAACTGCCTTTGCTGGCTCCCATAAAGTATTTGGAACACCTCTCCATTGTTGAATCTGTTTCCGCACTGTTTTTCATTTAAATTAGGTAAAATATTTTCAACTTGATTGAAAGTAAATTTATATGTTAATATTTCCTGTTGTAGCTTCTGATGACTCCTCAGACGATGAGCCGTTTGATAAAGAAGAAAACAACTTCTGCAGCTGCTGAGAAACCTGAGAAAAAAGAAAACACATCGTCCCGATCTAATGGCGCAAATAAGAACGCAGGTGATTACATCACCGTCTATCTGTAACTATTCTGCAGCAGTGATGTGTTGATCTGTGTCCGGAGAGATCACCTGTAAAGTTTGCTTTATGCACCTTTTTCAGATTTGAACAGAGGTGACAGCTCAGACTGTGAACCTCTGAGTAAGATCGCCAAAGTGTCCTCCAAAGCTGCTAAGAAGCCTTCCTCAGTGTCTCCAAAGAAATCTGTGGACACAAAGAAAAAAGGTGAGAGAAATTTCCCTCCACGAACCTGCAGCTTCAGCAGAAAGCAAAGGTTTTGGCAGATATCACAGCTTATCAAGAGTCTCTCTGTTCTTGATTTAGAAATTTCCACCCACTCTTCCTGCAGATTTGTATTGCAGACACAGCATGTTTAAGATCACAGATATTTCGTGATGTTCAGGTCAGGGTCTGTTCCAAAAGCTCCAGCTTGTGTGTCTTCAAGTGGTTCATGGTGGATTTTGAAATCTGCTTTAGATCTTTGTCCTGTTGTAGAAACCAGCCTGTTTCACTGTCACTTACTTGACTTACTGCAGGACAGTTGCATCCAGAATTTGCTGATATTCAGTTGCATCCATTCTTCCCTCTATCTGTGCAGTGTTTCCTGTGCCTAAGCAAAATATTTCCACCCCCATAATTAAAAGTTGACAAGATATTCGTCTCTTCAAGTGCTGCTGCTTTTATTCTCCAAACACACTTTGAGTGATTGTGGCCAGGGAGCTCAGTTTTCACATCATCTGTCCACAGCACATCAACTCTGGCTTATCCAGATGTTTCTCTGCAGACTTCAGACATTGACTTTTGAGTTTCCCTCTGATGACTTCCATGTATGAATTTGTGCATCAGTGCTGCACAGTGGAACAGTGCATTACCATCCCTTTGTCAGCTAAACCTCCTGCAGCTCTCTGCAGTCATATTTTGTAGGTGTGTTCTTCATTTTCAGATCGTCAGTCAGCTGCTGGAGGAGCCTCTGGTTGTTGAATATTACCATAAAGTTATGAGCTCTGGATTTCGCATCAGCTAACAACAATGCAAAAAAATTGCTGTGGCCAGTTTAGGTAAAATATTTTCAACTTGATTGAAGTAAATTTATATGTTAATATTTCCTGTTGTAGCTTCTGATGACTCCTCAGACGATGAGCCGCTGATAAAGAAGAAAACAACTTCTGCAGCTGCTGAGAAACCTGAGAAAAAAGAAAACACATCGTCCCGATCTAATGGCGCAAATAAGAACGCAGGTGATTACATCACCGTCTATCTGTAACTATTCTGCAGCAGTGATGTGTTGATCTGTGTCCGGAGAGATCACCTGTAAAGTTTGCTTTATGCACCTTTTTCAGATTTGAACAGAGGTGACAGCTCAGACTGTGAACCTCTGAGTAAGATCGCCAAAGTGTCCTCCAAAGCTGCTAAGAAGCCTTCCTCAGTGTCTCCAAAGAAATCTGTGGACACAAAGAAAAAAGGTGAGAGAAATTTCCCTCCACGAACCTGCAGCTTCAGCAGAAAGCAGCTGTTCTCTGCAGCTGATACTTACATTTGATTTTATATTATTACGGAATCACCAGTTGATGATGAAAATTTGGATGCAGGGCCTCTGAGTGAAATTGCCAAGAAACTTAAATCCAGACCCCAGAGAAAGGCAGCCGTCACAACATCTAGACAAACAGCTATAAAATCCAAAAGGAGCGTGACGAGGAAAAATGGTAGGTGTGAAATGTGGAAATCTGAAAACATCTAAAATACTTCTTGCATTGCATCTTTAACAAAAAATAAATAAGTTTTGTCTGTTCTAGTTAAATATGCAGAGTCTTCAAGTGACAGCTCAGACGATGAAAAACTGGTAGCAGTAAAGATGAGGAGGACGAAGGCTGCTCAAGCAACCAACAAGAAAACAAACCTTAAAGACGAATCACGAAAAGGTCGGCAGCTCTCTCATTACACTGACCAGAAAGAATTCATTATATTCAGCTTAATCACAAGTAGTAAACTCTTGTATTTCACATCCTCAGACAGCAGCTCTGATGACCATGACGATGATGTTGATGATGATGATGATGATGATGATGATGATGATGATGATTATGATTATAAGCCCTTGGTGAAACTCATCACCAGTAAGAAGAAACCAGTGAAGAGAAACACAAAGAGGACGACTGTACCTCAACGTGGTGCGTCAAAAAGGAGACAAGGTACTAAAAGACAGCAGGACATGAACACAACATCATGTGATACACCAGATCCTACAGACTGAACTAGACACATTAGATCAAGGGCGTAGGTCTGCATATGGACGGGAGGGAAATGTCCCTGCCAATATGTGAGTGAAGTAACGTTAGATCATTCTGACGTGCCGTCCAAGAGGATACGTCTCCAAGACAACCGATTTAGACACACTAGAATTTGATTGGCTGAAAGGGCGGGGGCCTTTCTGAAGGATCACGTCACGTGACGACATCACAGTGGAACCTGACGTCCCCGGAAAAATGTCAACTAATGTTCTTTAACCACGTTAGCTAGCGTTAACTAGCAAGCTAACCCTGGCTGCGGCCGTCTGTAGGAAGCTAGCAGTAAATATAAAATATTTATATATTAAATAATATAAAATGGATAAATCAAAGTATGAGTTTAATTTCTGTCGAGAAATCCCGTGAAAACGTCGCCATGAATGAATGATTTTGTAGTAAGTCGAGCAGCTGAGGAGGAAACAGTTTCATCTTCAGGGTTTAAAATGATAGTGTGATTAAATATACACTATTATGGATTAATTGTAAATTACTAATTTATATTTAACGTAACCACAGTCCATCTATTCTGATGTTAACTTGTAAATTATTGTAACACACAATAATTTTTTTTAGTTTTAGTCTTTGATCTGTTACTGTCAGTTTTATTTAAATGTAAATACATTTCTGGAAGTAAATTCAGATTTTATATGTTGATAAATACTTTGGTTGACAGCATTAAAAAGTCCTCTCTGTTTTGGAGGGGTGACGAGGTTGTTGTGTCCCTGCCAATGATGAGAACAAACTTCCATTAATCCCTGCTGCTGTGACTGTTGTTTGGCAGGACGGTCTGATGAAAGCCCAGATGATGAACCCGTGATTAACCTTGTGAAAAAGAACAACACTGGCAGGAAAACCAAAACCAAAACAAAGGCTGCAGCTCCGAAGAAGAGGAACAGTCCCAGAAAGCCAAGAAAGATGCCTGCGTCAGGTAAAGATCAGAGCGATCGTAGTTGTAGAGGCCAGTTCATAAGATTAAGATGTCCAGTAAAACCTCTCACGAAAAATAATGCTTGTGTTTTGAAGAATTTTCTTCTACAGTTGAATGACATCTTGTCTTTATTAATATTTTTTCAGATTTGTCAAGCAACAGTTCAGATGATGAACCTTTAATCAAAGCAGCTAAACACCCACAAGTGACCAAAATCCTGAGAATAATACTGGAGAGGTGTGATGGTGACGATGGTGGACCAACAGGAAGCCTGAAAAAAAAGCAGAACAGGTACTGATTACATAACGAAGTGATTACTGATGCCTTAATAAAAGCTCAAAATTAAAAAATTATTCTTATTCTCCTAAACAGAGACAGCGAATGACGAAGAGCCCTCAAAGGAGAAATTGGAGGGTTCAGAGGAATCATCAGAAGAGGAATAAGCGTTAGAATCATAAAGGAATGAATTACTCTTTATTGTCACTTTTCAGCTTCTGGACCTGGAAGTTCAAACCAATTAGTGGCTCCACGTTTGAGGAACTTCCCAAAGTGTTGTAAATCCCACAGAGAGACACCTCCCTAAAAAAAAATTAGTTAGTGTTCATGTGAAGGTACTGTGTGTTTTATATACGTACATGTTCATTTAAGGTGATCGTATTTTTACTCCAGTTTTTAGGTTTTGGACCAGGTTTTGCAGGTTCCTCAGATTTTACGCAGTCTTATATGTTGTTTTACTATTTATGCTTGTTGCTCACATCAGCTGCTTCCTCTGGTTTTCATTGTTAAGACAGTTATTTTAAAATCATTGATGTAGTTTAAACCTCTGCTTTCATATTAATTGTACACTCAGCATGCAGCAGTCAAAATCTCTTGTGTTGCATTAAACTGTGTTCCCTTTGAAAATTCATATGATGTGAGTCAGTCTCTATTTCAGCTGATTCACCTCACACCCACAATTATTGTTCTTCCTTTGCGTCTGACATTTTCCTTCCGGTAGTATTGAGCCTGAGGCAAGTTAATTTTTTACTCATTACTTGAGCTTTACGATGCTGCAGCAACCGTCCAATCCAACCATTAACCGGTATATACTGCAGGGTATTTTAGAAAACTAAATTCACCCTTTTTGTGTCACTTTTAATAGAAATTCTAAGTTCACTTTGGACATATTTGGGGTAACAGTGGGGGTGTCTGGGTACCTCCATCCAGCTCTTAACTCAAGAACCTGGCATCAGGTTTACACGTATCTTTTTTGTGTTTTTGTTTTGTTTTTTTGTAGTTACCTGGTAAATGAAGTTGACTACCTCCTTAAAGCTAAGGCTGCAACTGACAGGTGATATTTTAATTTAGAATTTTATTTTAAACGTTTATCTTAAATTAACAATCAATTAATTGGTCAGTCATTCACTTTCTCAGTTAATTGTTTAGTCCATGAAATTCCAGAAAATAGTGAAAAACGTCGGTCACAATATTCTAAAGCCAAAGGTGATGTGTTCAATAGTCCAATTATTCGATATTTAACCGTTGTTTTTTTCTGTTTATTCAGCAAAACATGATATAAAAACCGAGAAATTAATTTTCATTTAAAAAGCGAAACCGGATTAATTCATAACTCAGTCGTTTAATTTTCTAGACTAATCGAGCACTAAAAACATGAATTATTATAAACAAGTAAAAGCGTGAGCAGGATATAAGATCATGTAAAAAAAAATAACGCCTTAAAATGAATGCAGGCATTAATGTAATGTTGGCGTAATATTCAAGAAGGAATTGAAAATTTGACGTTTTTAGTTTTCTACAATTTGTAGTGAAGTTTGGTCTTCGTTCTTCTTCGCTGCTTTCTGAAGCTGTCGTGAACTTCCGCCATGTCTGCGTCACAACCCGGCAGCAGCGGTGTTAAGTTGAGTCCTCCAGCAGAGTCAACAGTGCAGTAAATACAGCAGCTGCTCGTGTTAGTTTGTGACTTCGTAAAGAAAAGTTAATCTACAGAAGAGAAACTTGTAGCCCGACCTGTCACCTGCCAGACGGACCGTTAAGCCAAGTATTGATCGGTATCTGGGGGTTAGCTAACTGCTTGTTAGCTAGCATGCTGCTGTCTCAACACACCAGACTCCTCTCGGATTAATTTCATCTCGTCATGACTGAGTTAAGATGTCGGAAAACAGAGACTTTGGAAGGAGATGAAGAAGCAGAAAGGCGCCAAAATGAGCCAGAGCCGCAGACCGAACGTAAGTTGAGCTAACTTAGCGGTTTGCTAACTGAACACCGGTTAGCTTGCTGTGCACACACATCCAGTGAGTTCAGATAAGTTTCCCAGAGAAATATGAAGTGAGATCTACAGTAGGTGTCTGTATCGATACTGTCACAGTCAGACTGTCTGTTGTGACACCTGAGCAGGTGTGAATGAGCCGGTGAGCGCAGAGGATGGGGGGAGTGTGTCCAGCGGTGGAGCAGGTGATGACCTGCAGCAGAAGGATGAAGTTAAAGAAGAGGACGGTCTCCATAAACAGGAAGAATCAACCAGACCCAGGACATCTGTCAAAAGATCCAAGAGTTCTTCTACTTGTAAGTTTATTTCCTACGTACTAACATATCAGAACACTTTTATCACTACTAAATACTTTATTACACAAAGCAAAACTTTATAAAGCAACATCAATACCAGTCCACTATTACTCCTACTTTTAATGCTTGACTGATGATCTGGTGATCTGTGTGGAGCTGTGTCACTTGACACAACTGTCACATAAGCCACCGAATTAAAATAGTCATGTACAGCACTGTGCAAGCTTTAGAAACTTTAGATGTTTAGATTCTTATCCATCATGCAACACCATCAGAGATCCTCCGATCGACCCCAAACTTAAAGCCAGAAGCACAAGGAGTCCTGCAGTAGATGGTTTCATCATCACAGAGTAGTAGAGTCTGGGATCATGAAAAGAAGACACTGAGACAGCTTTGAACAACCTACGTCTCAAGTGCCTAGAAAAACTGTGCAGGTATACTGAGGTGATCTGGTTCTGATTTAAATTCAAAGCATGGTCACAGGAAATATTGATTTCCGTTTACTGCAAGATAATTGAAAAATAAAAACTTTTTGACTTTGCTTCTGGCGTCTAAAACTATTGCACAGCGCTGTACTTACTTAACTGTGTCCCACGTCATGCCTCATGTGTCATATCTGAAGATCTACCTGTAGGTCGTGTGCAGAGAAATATTTGCATTTGACCTTTAAAACCAGTGACTCAGTCTCTTGATGGTGTGACAGGACAGTTACAGTGTAGACTTACTGACAGTGTCGAACACATTAATCATGTTGTGATATGTGACGTTTACTGTTTCTGCTCCTCAGCTGGTTTTCTGCAGCGTCTGTTGAGGGTGTTCCTCGGCTGTTTGGCGGCAGTTGCCTGCGGCATGCTCTACGCCGTGTATCTCTCCACGTATCACGACAGGAAGTTCTGGTTTTCAACTAGACAGGTGGGATATTTTGACTGATTGTGCTTCCACTTCACTGCCATCTCACATCAAGTATAAAAATTCAGTTTAATGTGTCTCAGGAGCTGGAACGTGAAATCACTTTCCAAGCAGGAAGTGGGCTTTATTATTACTACTACAAGCACATGCTGGCAGCACCATCCTTTGAAAGAGGTACATGCATCTTTTCTGCTTCTCTTTAAAGAAATAATGTTTAACTACAACATCAAACAGAAACTAACCTGGATAAAAGTGCTCTGATCTTCACTCTCTTCTACTTTAATCAACTCTGTTCCTCTGTTTTCTTTTACTCTCTAGGGTTTTATGAGCTGATGATTGATAACAGGACAGTTTCAGGTCAGACCATCAATGCAGTGGAGCGTCTGTCTCTGTATCCAGAGCTCATCACAAGCTTCATATACAGAGTCACCGGGAGCCAGGTGCGTTATTTTACTGTTTGATCAACTTCTGTCAATGACCCCTTAAGGTCACCAGAGGTCAGGTACAAACTGCCTCCACATCTGGAGTAAAACCTCGGGGTGTGAAGATTATCTGCTGAAACTTTCACTCTTTAGTCATAAAATACAGTTGTTTTGTCTCTGTGCCTCACTAACCTGGTAATGGAGGAGAATGGAAAATAGAATTAGACAAAAACAAAATGAAGACTCAATAATGATGCTCACAACAACACGACTCATCAGGTGTTTTGCCAGTAGCACATCTTACCCATTAGCACACCAGTGTCCACACACTGTGGATTCCTGGTCTTGACGGCGTTAGTTCAAAGCTGTTAAAAGAAAACAGTGAACTATCTGATGTTTCTGTCTCTGCACCTTCAGGACTTCATGGAGCCGATCTACTTCTACATCGGAGCGGTGTTCGGCCTCCAGGCCGTCTACGTCACCGCCCTGTTTGTGTGCAGCTGGGTGATGAGCGGCACCTGGGTGGCTGGCATGTTGGCTGTGGCCTGGTATGTGATCAACAGGTGAGACGACTTCTTTATGTTTTTAAGACAGATAAAAGTCTCAGTGACCCTCCTGTCTCATGTCTCATGCTCGCTCCTTTTCTTTCTGCTTTTCTGTGACTTGTCCTCTTTCTAACTTTATGACTCTTCCTCTGTTCTTCCTCAGACCAGACACAACCAAAGTGGACCATGCCGTTCCTCTGCGGGACAACTGGGCTCTGCCGTACTTCTCCTGTCAGGTGGCAGCTCTGACCGGATTCCTGAGCAACAACATCAGCTCTGCCACCGAGGTAATATATACTGTAATAATAATAAATAAATAATAATAATAATACACAGCAGAATCAAAGCTGATAAACGCTTTCTCTCTAGATGTTTTGCTATCTCACCATGAGTGCCACCACCTTCACCTTCCTCCTGGTCTGGGAACACAGTCACTACGTGCTCTTCATCCAAGGCCTCTGTCTTTTCCTGCTCGACTCTTTTGACCTGGTGCCGTCACGTAAGGTAACACGATCACCACGGCCTGTTGGGACTGTTCAATCACATTCAGCCTCCATGTGTTTTTGATATACTGCTTTAATGTACAGATCTTCAACCGTAAGTCACTGTAACCTGTGAAAGTTATTCCTCTATTTACCGACCACAGCCGCTCAGATTTCACTGATGAAACATAGTTTGACGTTGTGGGAAATAGACAGTCGATGCCACTCTCATGCGTGTACGCTAAATGTGAAGCTAAAGCCAAGAGACGTTAGCTTAGCATGGAGACTGAAAACAGGGGGAAACAGCTAGCATGGCTGTGTCCAAAGGCAACAAAATCCACTTCCATGAACTAAAAGCTCCAGACAGTCATTGCACCTGCTCAGGAAATAGTAGTGACTTAGAGTTTTCATAGTTTTTGTTCTATTGGAAAAGCTGTAAACTCTTTGAACTTGATGATTTGATTAAGAGCCACAGGTTTTATGGACTGAATTCATAAACATGAATTGAACGTGGTAGTTTGAACATAATATTTGTAAATGTGAGATGTGTAAAAAAAAAAAGAGCAAAAATCTTGTTTTCTACTTAGTTTTCATGAGATTAAAATGTTCAAGAACAGATGCATATTCTGAAAATTCAGCAGGTAAAAACACCTGTGTGAGCTCACAGTCGTCCTACCTGTCTCTCTCCTGCCGGCTGTTCTTCTCCCTCCATCATCCCTCCGTCTCTGCTCTGCACAGATGGCTGACATCCACAAAGTGTACCTGAGCTCCTTGTTCCTGGCGTACCTGTTCCAGTTCCAGAACACTACCCTGCTCAGCTCGCCGCTGCTCAGCCTCCTGATTGGCTCAGTGCTCGCGAGGTACTTCCAGGTAGAGTTAGCTGCTCCCTCATATTACAGGCACCTGATGTCAGTCTGTTTTTTTTTTTCTACCTTTCTCTCTCTCATTAAAAATGTCTTTCCTGCGTTTCTGTCTCAGCAAAAGATG